CAATGGACAGCGCTACCGCGACGAGATCATCGGCCCTGTTGTTCTACCGTTTTTGTGTCGTCATGGCCCAGGCATTACCTTTCAACATGACAACGCCCGGCCTCATATTGCTCGACTTGTTCAGGATCTCTTCAACAAAACAGCGGGAATGTCATCCCCTGGCCGGCTCGCTCCCCTGATCTATCAGCAATCGAGCACATGTGGGATGCGATGGATCGGCGCCTTCAACGTCAACCACGTGTTCCACAGACACTCCAGGAACTTCGAAACATGCTCCAGCAGATATGGACAGATATCCCACAGGACTTTGTGCGACGCCTGGTCCATTCCATGAGACGAAGATGTGTTGCTTGCATCGCAACCAGAGGTGGACACACACGCTATTGATTTGTAAATTGACATTTTGGCATGTTCATGGTTTTTGTTATGAAATCACGCATTTCCTGAAGTCAGTATGACAAATTAAAACCATTTGAACACTTACAGGAGTCTTTTATCTGTTGCAAACTGAAATTGTTTCAGATTTTGTAAAAACATTACTCTGCATTAAATCTTATTCAATGTGACAGGAACTTTTGTTGTTCAGTATATAAAAATCATGGCACATAGCATCATATGCCTATCTGGCTTGTAGGAATCCATAGCCAAGCTATCAGGCTATAGCAGGCTTTGAGGACTTCATAGCTGATCAGATATATATTCACAAGAATCAGATTCATGCCATTTTCATTACATTTCAACGATAGGCCTAATCTATGATATCAATACTAGTATTCAGAGACCTGATTTTATAAATACGTGATTTTAATCTCAATAAAATACTTCCATCTTTAAGAACAAAACATAAATTTGACCATCTGTTGACTCTCAGAGCTGATGTCCAATGCTCTTCTGCCTCCTATGTTTCATTATGCACACTGGGATTACAGAGGGTCAACTGTGTGGGGTGGAGTGAGGATGTGTCTGGCGGGCCTTAAACAGAAGAGGATTTGTCTGGCAATGGGTATTTTGTAATAAGTAGAGTGTAATAGTTCATTTTATGTTGGTTCCATGTGATACCTCCAATGTTTAAGCCTTATGCAGAGGAAGATTTGTCTGGTGTGGCCCATTCTGTACTCTGTGATATGAACCTGTTCATTTAAACTTACCTTAATGTGGTACAATCGATATATATTCCAGACCAATTTTACCCGTGGATACCTGAAGGGTCAACTTTTTGTGGGTGTCTGGCCGGCCTTATGCAGAAGATGATTTGTCTGGCAATGGGTATTGTGCAATAAGTAGAGTGCAATTGTTAATTTTATGTTGATTTCATGTGGTACCTCCATTGTTTAACCCAGCCCAAATTTTGGGACCCTCTCTGAGGGTGTCTGGCAGGCCTTATGCAGAGGAAGATTTGTCTGGTGTGGCCCATTCTGTACTCTGTGAGATGAACCAGTTCATTTACACTTACTTTCATGTGGTACCTCCAATGTTTGATCCAGCCCTTGAATGGTCCCTTCTTTTGGGGGGCCAGGGGCCACACGCAGCAGGGGCTCCCCGGCAAACATCCATATATGAATATGTTGGGTTACACAGTAAATGTTCCTGTGTTCAGATATTGGTACCTTGTTCGTTTGACCAAAGTGCTCTGGGCTGCTGCTCTATCTGTCACAGGGTCCCTCACATCTCCCCTTCCACTCCAGTCCCACACAGGGTCCCTCACATCTCCTCTTCCACTCCAGTCCCACACAGGGTCCCTCACATCTCCCCTTCCACTCCAGTCCGACACAGGGTTCCTCACATCTCCACTTCCACTCCAGTCCAACATAGGGTCCCTCACATCTCCTCTTCCACCAACTGTTACACATAGGGTCCCTCACATCTCCCCTTCCACTCCAGTCCCACACAGGGTCCCTCACATCTTCCCTTCCACCATTTGTCACACACAGGGTCCCTCACATCTCCTCTTCCACTCCAGTCCCACATAGGGTCCCTCACATCTACTCTTCAATCAACTGTCACACACTGGGTCCCTCACATCTCCTCTTCCACCAACTATCACACACAGGGTCCCTCACATCTCCTCTTCCACCAACTGTCACACACTTGGTCCCTCACATCTCCTCTTCCACCAACTGTCACACACAGGGTCCCTCACATCTCCTCTTCCACCAACTGTCGAACACTGGGTCCCTCACATCTCCCCTTCCACCATCTGTCACACAAAGGGTCCCTCACATCTCCTCTTCCACCAACTGTCACACACAGGGTCCCTCACATCTCCCCTTCCACCATCTGTCCCACACAGGGTCCCTCACATCTCCCCTACCACTCCAGTCCCACATAGGGTCCCTCACATCTCCTCTTCCACCAACTGTCACACACTGGGTCCCTCACATCTCCCCTTTCCACCATCTGTCACACACAGGGTCCCTCACATCTCCTCTTCCACCAACTGTCACACACAGGGTCCCTCACATCTCCCCTTCCACCATCTGTCCCACACAGGGTCCCTCACATCTCCCCTACCACTCCAGTCCCACATAGGGTCCCTCACATCTCCTCTTCCACCAACTGTCACACACTGGGTCCCTCACATCTCCTCTTCCACCAACTGTCACACACAGGGTCCCTCACATCTCCCCTTCCACCAACTGTCACACACAGGGTCCCTCACATCTCCTCTTCCACCAACTGTCACACACTGGGTCCCTCACATCTCCTCTTCCACCAACTGTCACACACTGGGTCCCTCACATCTCCTCTTTGACCATCTGTCACACATAGGGTCCCTCACATCTTCCCTTCCACCAACTGTCCCACACAGGGTCCCTCACATCTCCTCTTCCACCAACTGTCACACACAGGGTCCCTCACATCTCCCCTTCCACTCCAGTCCCACATAGGGTCCCTGACATCTCCCCTTCCACCATCTGTCACACACTGGGTCCCTCACATCTCCTCTTCCACCAACTGTCACACACTGGGTCCCTCACATCTCCTCTTCCACCATCTGTCACACACAGGGTCCCTCACATCCTCCCTTCCACCAACTGTCCCACACAGGGTCCCTCACATCTCCCCTTCCACTCCAGTCCCACACAGGGTCCCTTACGTCTCCCCTTCCACCATCTGTCACACTCAGGGTCCCTCACATCTCCCCTTCCACCATCTGTCACACACAGGGTCCCTCACATCTCCCCTTCCACCAACTGTCACACACAGGGTCCCTCACATCTCCTCTTCCACCATCTGTCACACACAGGGTCCCTCACATCTCCCCTTCCACCATCTGTCACACACTGGGTCCCTCACATCTCCTCTTCCACCAACTGTCACACACTGGGTCCCTCACATCTCCTCTTCCACCATCTGTCACACACAGGGTCCCTCACATCTTCCCTTCCACCAACTGTCACACACAGGGTCCCTCACATCTCCCCTTCCACTCCAGTCCCACACAGGGTCCCTCACGTCTCCCCTTCCACCATCTGTCACACACAGGGTCCCTCACATCTCCCCTTCCACTCCAGTCCCACACAGGGTCCCTCACATCTCCCCTTCCACTCCAGTCCCACAAAGAGGAATTTATGGCAATGATGTAATTGAGGTAGGTTTTTCAAAGGAATTATATTGCTTTCTTGGTGAGGTCATAATAAGAGGATGCGTGAGGGTTGCCCGAACCTCTGAAGCACTAAATGAAATGCCTCTGTGTGAAGTTTCCACTCTGTCAGAGCCACCCTGGTTGAGATAAGGCATCTGCCAATATGTTCCGACATCTGGGGATGTGCTGAACTAACAATTGTAGTTACAGCTAATCCACTAGATGAAAGAACCTGAATGTCTGTTGAAGAAGGGAGTGGGAGTGTGTTGTCCCCTTATTGCCCAGGCACCACACCACCATTGCTGTTTTGGTACAGTGCTGACGGCTGATCATACAAATGCTGCACTGCCGTATTAGTAGTTGGAACAGCACTAAGCTGATCATGCGTTGCTGATGTATTTGGGTACGCTGGAAGCCCAGAGGCTGATGTAATCGTGGACGCGCCTGGAGGCAAGGCAGGCACTAGGCTCAGCCCAAGCCCAGCCCAACGTCCATCGGTGATGACTGGATCATGGCATGTGTCTGCGCTATCCAAATCCAAGCATCATGAGACGCGCGCCAGCGTCGCAGGGGCTGTAGCACTGAAGGCCCTAGATGGCTGAAAATTGGAAGCAGGTATGATACTCACAGTAGCCTCCAACAATGTTGAATTTGGAGGAGGATGAATATCTGCAGTCACTATTACGGAAGCCATATTACCAACCGAAGATAACAGTTGCAAGTAAACAATTGCAACAAATTCAAAAATGGCAGGAAACAAAAGAGAAAAAAGACAGTCTTTTTACACACAAATCACTCACATATTAATACACCAAACAGTGAAGGTAATATGAAAAGAATACATCATCCATTGCAGATATAATATAGAGTAATAGCCGAAGTTAAGGGTCTAAAAAATCCAATTTGAAGAGGCTACCTTGCTGTTACGTGAGACAGTGATGTGAGGAAGGTGACATGTGATCAAGGTCCATGCAAAAAGAAGGAGTTGAAAATGGAAACATCTTTTTTTCACCAAAGACCATTGCTGAGCACTGTCTTTTGTTGTACAATGTAGTAAGGTAAGCAGTGAATGCATTAAGGAGAACTGCAGCATAAGTAAAAAATTAAAGATTTTATTGTGTGAAGACAAGATTTCTGGCACTGATGTAATAGCGGTCTAGTATTCGTAAATAATACTTTTATTATATTGTGTGAGTGAATATTATTTTACTGAGCATTAGGCAATATTCAAACAACCAAGTCTGGTCTCAAGGTTATTTATATAATGTTGTCGAAACACACCAGTGATGAGAAATATAATAAACTTTGAATTCTAAAAATAATGTCATTCATTTATTTTGGAAACAGGGACTGGTTCCAGTCCAATGTTGTGGATGAGATTCCTAACCACGCAATCTGAGACAACAACCACACATTCACTGTTGATATTTTATTTTCACAATACCGGTACTTACATCATCTGCATATATGGGTACCCCAATCCCAAACAAAAAAACAGACAGCAATAAACAGCTGTGCACTGAAAGTGCATCCAAAACAACAATAAATATATATAGAAGAAGTTTGCAACCAACAAGGCTGCATCAACGTAACACTTTAGCTGGGATATTGACAGATAACACAGACTGCCATCTGACAAGAATTGTACAACCAAATTTCATGCAAGCATTATGAAACTAAAAAGAGATCATCTCGACTCTTCTTTTTATCCCCCTGGATGCCGAGTTATTTTTCTGATGCACATTGTCATAAGACCTGAACAGTGAATGTTTTTGGAAAATTGCAGATGCGCGACACTGGGTTTTCGTCTGACAGTGCTAAGTGTTTTTTTCATGCAAATTTTGCCACTGTTTATTATACACACTGTACTGTAAGTACTGTGCAACAAATCTTATTTTTACATCTATTTGTTCATTATTATGTGGTTATTTCTCTTCATATCATCTCAGAATTATCAGGATCATGGTACAATATTCCATATAATATCAACGGGGTACATGGCACGCTTTACATTTATTTTTTACAATTCTTATGGAAATTAAGTAAACAGAACGGAAACTTTCACAATTTCTTATGAATTTACCAAATATTGTAAGTATTTTGGTGATAGACCATTTGTCATTTGATCATGAAATGTATGAGGAATGCAGGGATGTATGTATCGCAGCTGAGAGTGAAATATATGTTGTGTAATAGGTGGCTCATAAACACCATAGGTGGAACAGGATTTTGTAAACACTATCCAATACGGCTGAAAATTTACTTCAGCATTTGTGTTCACATATTTTCTACAACGTGCAAAAACGATTCTTGGGTTATTGGCAACATTTAAGAATGATTATTAGTGATTTGCTACATGATTTTGTAAACACTATCCATTATAGCAGAAAATTTACTACATATTTTCCACAGCATGCTTTACGATTCTAGGGTTTCACAATCATCACTGGTGTATTGATACATTACAGATAAGGCTGATCACTATTTCACTAATGTTCTATTTTTGTTACTGACTTCAGATATTGAGTAAATATCTGATATCTAAATATTTCAAAACATACACGAAATAACACCATTAATGGTAATGTCAAAACAGATTTATGTTGTATCTAATTTTCAGAGGTCGTTTTCAGCAATTTCCCTTTGCCCAGATGACAGATTACAGCAATTTCACTTAGCCTAGATGACAGAGGATGGTATCACAGAATTCCTGTAGAATTCCAAACTGGGATGTGTATTTGTGTGTGTGATGTAGTTTGAACATTTTGGTTGAAGAGGAGGGGCATATATGTCCCTGTGGCATCCAGGGGGTAAAACTGCACAAAAATAGCATGCTAGTTGCAACAGTTTCTACTGATGCTAATGTAAATACATCTATTTTGAAACCGTTAGAGTTAGAGATATGTGCAGGGAATGAACGACATGATGGGCACTGTACACACTGTCCCTCTGCCATGTGATGGTGTGCAGACACAGTCGGGACATTCAGAAAGTGATGAATAAAGTTTCTTCAATTAGAAAAAACAATGTTGAGGATATTTCCTGTCAGTCAATTGGATAGAATTGTCACAGAGAAAAAAATTGGAAATAGCTGTGTGACATTGATTTCGGCATATTCAAATCCGTCTACTGCTTGTACATATAGACAGCCACACAAACTTGCACTGGGTGAATGTCCACAAGAAGGCAGTCTGTCTGTGTGTTGCATGAGTATTCCAGTGAGGCTGCACACAGCATCAGGTAATGTCAGGGACAGTGAGTGCGTCCAGCAGGCCGCTGCCGCAGACAACACAGAGGAGGCAGGACATGATGGCTCATGTCGGGCTGGGTGTGGTCTCCCGCAGTTCAGGAAACAATTCTTGTACTACGATGTCCAGAAACACAAAAGTCAGCTGAAATGCAATATTCTACAAATAAATATTCCGGAATAAACAGTGAAAAGTTAACACATATGATGAAACTCTAGTCTGAGACTAACTGTTTAATTTGGTCATGTAAATGTACATATTACATTACAGGATAATCTGCATGTATGAAAAATGACAAGTGTGTCAGATGTAACCACTTTGTGAATCTCTGAGACACTGTACAATGTTCTCACCTGCTTGTTGAGCTTGGGTTGTTGGAGACACTCCAGTATAAACTTGGTCCCTTCTACATGGCTCTTGGTGCCAATTACTGCAGCAAATGCTTCTGCAAGTGCATGGAAGAAACACCATTATCATGAATAAAACACAGTAACATAAAGTGACCACCTGGTATACATTCTTCTCAGAACAAACACCTCAACAAACTTCTGTCACTGCTCCAACCCATTGGTAGGGCACCACATTACACTAAGTAAAAGACCACCCATTGGTAGGGCACCACATTACACTAAGTGAAAGACCACCCATTGGTAGGGCACCACAATACACTAAGTGAAAGACCACCCATTGGTAGGGCACCACATTACACTAAGTGAAAGACCACCCATTGGTAGGGCACCACAATACACTAAGTGAAAGACCATCCATTGGTAGGGCACCACAATACACTAAGTGAAAGACCACCCATTGGTAGGGCACCACAATACACTAAGTGAAAGACCACCCATTGGTAGGGCACCACAATACACTAAGTGACAGACCACCCATTGATAGGGCACCACAATACACTAAGTGACAGACCACCCATTGGTAGGGCTCCATGTCACACTTAGTGAAAGACCACCTATTGGTAGGGCACCACTATACACAAAGTGAAAGACCACCCATTGATATGGCACCACAATACACTAAGTGAAAGACCACCCATTGGTAGGGCACCATGTCACTCTAAGTGAAAGACTACCCATTGGTAGGGCACCATGTCACACTAAGTGAAAGACCACCTATTGGTAGGGCACCACTATACACTAAGTGAAAGACCACCTATTGGTAGGGCACCACTATACACTAAGTGAAAGACCACCCATTGGTAGGGCACCATGTCACACTAAGTAAAAGACCACCCATTGGTAGGGCACCATGTCACACTGAGTGAAAGACCACCCATTGGTAGGGCACCACTATACACTAAGTGAAAGACCACCTATTGGTAGGGCACCACTATACACTAAGTGAAAGACCACCTATTGGTAGGGCACCACTATACACTAAGTGAAAGACCACCCATTGGTAGGGCACCACTATACACTAAGTGAAAGACCACCTATTGGTTTGGCACCATTATACACAAAGTGAAAGACCACCCATTGGTAGGGCACCATGTCACACTAAGTGAAAGACCACCCATTGGTAGGGCACCACAATACACTAAGTGAAAGACCACCTATTGGTAGGGCACCACTATACACAAAGTGAAAGACCACCCACTGGTAGGGCACCATGTCACACTAAGTGAAAGACCGCTCATTGGTAGGGCACCACTATACACTCTCTAGCCTGGTTAATGCTCTACTTACTTGGAATGTAGTCAATACTCCCAGCCACTACCTCCTTGTACCGAGCTCGCTTCTGGGCCTCAGTCCTGTACAAACAGTTGAATCATAGGTTTAGCAAGGGACACATCACAGATAAATTAAACAGTAAGCCTTTCTGTAAAGAAATAAAAGATGAATGGGAGTTTATTGTATGATAAACAATGACCATTAGTCATTTATTTCTTATATGAGATATCAACAAAATGTCCAGTCTCTTAGGATGATGATAAAATGTACAACCTTTAAAAATATTTACCTGCATTTTAACAATGATGATTCCCTGAATAGAATCCGACCTTGGCAATGTCAGACAAGTCCAAATCATGAACAAGTGGGTTTGGTATTGGTACTTCCTGCATATGCTCACAATCCTCCAAAAAAACAATTGTTATATCTCTACCACTTTGAGATGTGATCATTTGGCCACTGCGTTTATATGCGTACCCCCGTTAAATCTATGGGGAACAACTCACTGGAAACTAAAGCAAGAAAGAAGTGAGCAAAGCTCACATACCCACGTTATCCCCGCTGGTCAACAACAAATAGTAAATAGTTTGTTAATTAATGAAATATTACATATTTCTAACTGATTTTAACTTCAATGTTTTAAAAACTAAGATTGAGTTCCAGTTACAATTGAAATTAAAAAGTTCAGAATCTTCAAACTAGCAAAAGGCACAAGTACTTATTGTGGTAAATGTGTGTAGCAGGTTTGATGAAGCTAGGGTGCATGGTTAAAAAGTTATGGGCCGTACAAAAGGACGGAATGACGGACGAACGGAACGCTATATATCCTCGATTTACTTCGTAAACGGGGGTATAATAACATCGTCCAATATATGACGTTATCAGGTTGCGAGCGCATATCCAAATCTCCAGAAATGACCAGTCAATCTCCAGTCATGATAGAACAATGTTTTTACGTGAAATAAACCATGCTTCATTCTTCATTGTTCTTTGCGATTTATCGCGTAGCTATCTTATATTACTTGTTACAGCATCTGTCAGACAGTAGGAGTTACGTACCTTGGAGGATCTGTGTCATAGAATAAGGTGTCTGAAAACAAAAGACAAATGAGTCAACACGTTGTACTGAGATAGAACTAAACTGCTTTCATACCAGCATGCACTCCATCAACATCCCACTGGTAATTGGTTGTCAGTCCAACTGATACTATTGTGGGAAGATGTAGTGAAGCCTGCTCATTCACTGCCACTATAGTTCAAATGTATAGAATTATCATAAAACTACAAGAAAGTTATCAGACAAAGTGCAGGCTGAGCAGCGTCCAAATGATGGACCACTATCAATCACATTGCCATGAGGTGTCACAGTTCAGTTATATTATTTGTACACTAATGTAAACAAACACAGCGTCTGACTATATTGGCACAGCTCTGGTGATGATATATATGGGTCTATGATGCACCATGCATACACATTTTGGGGAAACAATACCAACTTAAACGGATAAAAACTTGAAAGATTGCAGATTGAGGTTAAAATGAACACTACAGTGAAGTGCAATGATAAGACAGTATAAGGATACTCTGACTTTTGTTGCAGACTCCCAATCAATTTATTGCACTGCCCATCATTGCAATATCAATTACAATGTCAATGTGCTTTATAATTTGTGCTCAGAAAGCTCACTTGGGAAGACATCGAGTCAATGTAAAACTTGTATTCATAAAAAATGTATGTAAATTTTGGGAGCTATGGGCTTCCACATGCTATAACTGAGTTTGTGCTACATTGAAGGGCGCAATAGTGAGGGAACACTGGATTATCATTTGCAGAAGCAGTTGGTCTCCTCCGTCAGGCAATTACTAGCAGTTATCATGGTCCCGCAAAGGACCAGCCAAGTAGTGTTCCCCCTATAATATCGTTGTTACCTCTGAGCAGGTGTATGAGGCTCACAACGCGATGTTCTTGCTTCAGCTTCTCGATCTTGTTGTCCAGGTACCACTCCATGTAAGACTCAATGGTGTTCTTGCCCACAATTTTTATGGTCATCAAAATATGGTGGAACCATGCTGGCACCTTGTACACATGACGTGCTGAAACTCAGGGGATATATCCTCACTATGACAATAATACTTTTAGAAAGTAATTCTTGTAAAATCCTACATATTTTTTATATTTGTATTCTTATCCTACATTACTCCTTAAAGCATTTACTGCTTGTTTTTGACAGGGAGAAAGAGCTTGAGAGAGGTCTTGCTGAAGAAGAAGTTGTTCCAACTGGTTGTGTGGCTAATGAGACTTCTAGTAAGTCTGATGATATGTATCTAAAAAGTGAAGCAATCAAGACCCAAGCATAGAGAATGTGCACAAAAAGTGAAACTGACCCACATAGATGAGGGAATCAAATACACCCTCCACCTCCCTGGTGACAATGGGTGGTGCTGCGGTGGAGGGTGTCATCCCGCTGAAGCCACACCCTGCGTTGTTCTCGTACAGGGAGGAGTACATCTGTAAAGAGACAGCCACATAACTCCATGCTCCATTTTCTTGTACATCTGCTCTGGAGAAGTCCACCTCATGCACACAACATGAGCTTGTTTCATTTGTTTGTTGTTTCATGCTGTACTCAAGCATATTCCACTGACATAAAGATGGTATGTAAACAGCCGAGTGCATGCACAGGAAACCAATAGCTTAACACCATGGAAACCAAGTAACTAAGCCTGACCTACTCACCTCTTCCAACAAATAATAGACCTAGAGTCCTGGGAACCTATTACATCCCATCCATCACGAGGTAAGCTAATGTTATTGGGTAACTTTTGGCAGGAAAGTTTTACACATCTGATATCCAACACAATCAACATTGATTGTCACAACCACCATAGTTTTCTGCAGATTTGTTACAGTTTCATACACCCACACACTCACCTTCTCACTGGATGTGGACCTCTGTGAAGCATCAGATCCTCTCCTTTCCAGTTTACTGAAAGACACAATAGTCACACTCATTCATTACTTACAATAGCAAGAACACAAGCAGTGTGCTACCTACAGGGCTCAAATAACCCTGTAGACTGGAGAAATAAAGGACAACTCAATTATTGAGAGGTGGTGGAAGTGTGAGAGTCTTGTATATAGAGGTATTGGAAGTGTGTGAGTTTTGTACAGACAGGTGGTGGAAGAGTGACAGTCCTGTATAGACAGGTGGTGGAAGAGAGAGAGCCCTGTATTGAGAGGTGGTGGAAGAGTGAGAGTCCTGTATAGACAGTTGGTGGAAGAGTGACAGTCCTGTATAGACAGGTGGTGGAAGAGAGAGAGCCCTGTATAGAGAGGTGGTGGAAGAGTGAGAGTCCTGTATAGACAAGTGGGGGAAGAGTGAGAGTCTTGTATAGAGAGGTGGTGGAAGAGTGAGAGTCCTGTATAGACAGGTGGGGGAAGAGTGAGAGTCTTGTATAGAGAGGTGGTGGAAGAGTGAGAGTCTTGTATAGACAGGTGGTGGAAGAGTGACAGTCCTGTATAGACAGGTGGTGGAAGAGTGAAAGCCCTGTATAGAGAGGTGGTGGAAGAGTGAGAGTCCTGTATAGACAGGTGGGGGAAGAGTGAGAGTCCTGTACATAGAGGTGGTGGAAGAGTGAGAGTCCTGTATAGACAGGTGGGGGAAGAGTGAGAGTCCTGTATAGAGAGGTGGTGGAAGAGTGAGAGTCCTGTATAGACAGGTGGTGGAAGTGTGAGAGTCTTGTATATAGAGGTGGTGGAAGAGTGAGAGTCCTGTATAGACAGGTGGGGGGAGAGTGAGAGTCCTGTATAGAGAGGTGGTGGAAGAGTGACAGTCCTGTATTGAGAGGTGATGGAAGAGTGAGAGTCCTGTATTGAGAGGTGGTGGAAGTGTGAGAGTCTTGTATATAGAGGTGGTGGAAAAGTGATAGTGATGTATAGAGGGGTGGGGGAAGAGTGAGAGTCCTGTATAGAGAGGTGGTGGAAGAGTGACAGTCCTGTATTGAGAGGTGGTAGCAGAGTGACAGTCCTGTATAGAGAGGTGGTGGAAGAGTGAGAGTCCTGTATAGACAGGTGGGGGAAGAGTGAGAGTCCTGTATAGAGAGGTGATGGAAGAGTTAGAGTCCTGTAAAGACAGGTGGTAGCAGAGTGAGAGTCCTGTATTGAGAGGTGGTGGAAGAGTGACAGTCATGTATAGACAGGTGGTAGCAGAGTGAGAGTCCTGTATTCAGAGGTGGTAGAAGAGTGAGAGTCCTGTATTGAGAGGTGGTGGCAGAGTGAGAGTCCTGTATAGACAGGGGGTGGAAGAGTGACAGTCCTGTATAGACAGGTGGTAGCAGAGTGAGAGTCCTGTATTGAGAGGTGGTGGAAGAGTGACAGTCCTGTATAGACAGGTGGTAGCAGAGTGAGAGTCCTGTATAGAGAGGTGGTGGAAAAGTGAGATTCCTGTATAGAGAGGTGGTGGAAGAGTGAGAGTCCTGTATAGACAGGTGGGGGGAGAGTGAGAGTCCTGTATAGAGAGGTGGTGGAAGAGTGACTGTCCTGTATTGAGAGGTGATGGAAGAGTGAGAGTCCTGTATTGAGAGGTGGTGGAAGTGTGAGAGTCTTGTATATAGAGGTGGTGGAAAAGTGATAGTGATGTATAGAGGGGTGGGGGAAGAGTGAGAGTCCTGTATAGAGAGGTGGTGGAAGAGTGACAGTCCTGTATTGAGAGGTGGTAGCAGAGTGACAGTCCTGTATAGAGAGGTGGTGGAAGAGTGAGAGTCCTGTATAGACAGGTGGGGGAAGAGTGAGAGTCCTGTATAGAGAGGTGGTGGAAGAGTGACAGTCATGTATAGACAGGTGGTAGCAGAGTGAGAGTCCTGTATTCAGAGGTGGTAGAAGAGTGAGAGTCCTGTATTGAGAGGTGGTGGCAGAGTGAGAGTCCTGTATAGACAGGGGGTGGAAGAGTGACAGTCCTGTATAGACAGGTGGTAGCAGAGTGAGAGTCCTGTATTGAGAGGTGGTGGAAGAGTGACAGTCCTGTATAGACAGGTGGTAGCAGAGTGGGAGTCCTGTATAGAGAGGTGGTGGAAAAGTGAGATTCCTGTATAGAGAGGTGGTGGAAGAGTGAGAGTCCTGTATAGACAGGGGGTGGAAGAGTGACAGTCCTGTATAGACAGGTGGTAGAAAAGTGAGAGTCCTGTATACAGAGGTGGTGGAAAAGTGAGAGTCCCGTATAGAGAGGTTGTGGAAGAGTGAGAGTCCTGTATTGAGAGGTGGTAGAAGAGTGAGAGTCCTGTATTGAGAGGTGGTGGCAGAGTGAGAGTCCTGTATAGACAGGGGGTGGAAGAGTGACAGTCCTGTATAGACAGGTGGTAGAAAAGTGAGAGTCCTGTATAGAGAGGTGGTGGAAAAGTGAGAGTCCTGTATAGAGAGGTTGTGGAAGAGTGAGAGTCCTGTATAGACAGGTGGTGGAAGAGTGAGAGTCCTGTATACAGAGGTGGTGGAAGAGTGAGAGTCCTGTATACAGAGGTGGTGGAAGAGTGAGAGTCCTGTATAGACAGGTGGTGGAAGAGTGAGAGTCCTGTATAGACATGTGGTGGAAGTGTGAGAGTCCTGTATAGACAGGTGGGGGAAGAGTGACAGTCCTGTATAGACAGGTGGTATAAGAGTGAGAGTCCTGTATAGACAGGGGGTAGAAGAGTGAGAGCCCTGTATAGAGAGGTGGTGGAAGAGTGACAGTCATGTATAGAGAGGTGGTGGAAGAGTGACAGTCCTGTATAGAGAGGTGGTGGAAGAGTGAGAGTCCTGTATTGAGAAGTGCTGGCAGAGTGAGAGTCCTGTATAGAGAGGTGGGGAAAGAGTGAGAGCCCTGTATAGACAGGTGGGGGAAGAATGAGAGCCCTGTATTGAGAGGTGGTGGAAGAGTGAGAGTCCTGTAAAGTAAGTGAGTAAGTATGGTTTTACACCGCTTTTAGCAATATTCCAGCAATATCACGGCGGGGGGACACCAGAAATGGGCTTCACACATTGTACCCATGTCGGGAATCGAACCCGGGTCTTCAGCGTCACGAGCAAACACTTTAACCACTAGGCTACCCGACCGCCCTGAGTCCTGTAAAGAGAGGTGGTGGAAGAGTGAGAGTCCTGTATACAGAGGTGGTGGAAGAGTGAGAGTCCTGTATAGACAGGTGGTGGAAGAGTGAGAGTCCTGTATAGACATGTGGTGGAAGTGTGAGAGTCCTGTATAGACAGGTGGGGGAAGAGTGACAGTCCTGTATAGACAGGTGGTATAAGAGTGAGAGTCCTGTATAGACAGGGGGTAGAAGAGTGAGAGTCCTGTATAGAGAGGTGGTGGAAGAGTGACAGTCATGTATAGAGAGGTGGTGGAAGAGTGACAGTCCTGTATAGAGAGGTGGTGGAAGAGTGAGAGTCCTGTATTGAGAAGTGCTGGCAGAGTGAGAGTCCTGTATAGAGAGGTGGGGAAAGAGTGAGAGCCCTGTATAGACAGGTGGGGGAAGAATGAGAGCCCTGTATTGAGAGGTGGTGGAAGAGTGAGAGTCCTGTAAAGTAAGTGAGTAAGTATGGTTTTACACCGCTTTTAGCAATATTCCAGCAATATCACGGCGGGGGGACACCAGAAATGGGCTTCACACATTGTACCCATGTCGGGAATCGAACCCGGGTCTTCAGCGTCACGAGCAAACACTTTAACCACTAGGCTACCCGACCGCCCTGAGTCCTGTAAAGAGAGGTGGTGGAAGTGTTAGAGTCTTGTATATAGAGGTGATGGAAGTGTCAGGGTCCTGTATTGAGAGGTGGTAGCAGAGTGAGAGTCCTGTATTGACAGGTGGGGGAAGAATGAGAGTCCTGTATTGAGAGGTGGTGGCAGAGTGAGAGTCCGGTATAGGCATGTGGTGGAAGAGTGAGAATCTTGTATAGACAGGGGGTAGAAGAGTGAGAGTCCTGTATAGACAGGTGGTAGAAAAGTGAGAGTCCTGTATAGACATGTGGTGGAAGAGTAAGAGTCCTGTATTGAGAGGTGGTGGCAGAGTGAGAGTCCTGTATAGACAGGGGGTAGAAGAGAGAGAGTCCTGTATTGAGAGGTAGTGGCAGAGTGAGAGTCCTGTATAGAGAGGTGGTGGAAGAGTGAGAGTCCTGTATAGAGAGGTGGTGGAAGAGTGAGAGTCCTGTATTGAGAAGTGCTGGCAGAGTGAGAGTCCTGTATAGAAAGGTGGTGGAAGAGTGAGAGTCCTGTATTGAGAGGTGGTGGCAGAGTGAGAGTCTTGTATATAGGGGTGGTGGAAGAGTAAGAGTCCTGTATAGAGAGGTGGTGGAAGAGTGAGAGTCCTGCATTGAGAAGTGGTGGCAGAGTGGGAGTCCTGTATTGAGAGGTGGTGGAAGAGTGAGAGTCCGGTATAGACAGGTGGGGGAAGGAAGAGTGAGAGTCCTGTATTGAGAGGTGGTGGCAGAGTGAGAGTCCTGTATAGGGAGATGGTGGAAGAGTGACAGTCATGTATAGAGAGGTTGTGGAAGAATGAGAGCCCTGTATTGAGAGGTGGTGGCAGAGTGAGAGTCCTGTATAGACAGGGGGTAGAAGAGAGAGAGTCCTGTATTGAGAGGTAGTGGCAGAGTGAGAGTCCTGTATAGAGAGGTGGTGGAAGAGTGAGAGTCCTGTATAGAGAGGTGGTGGAAGAGTGAGAGTCCTGTATTGAGAAGTGCTGGCAGAGTGAGAGTCCTGTATAGAAAGGTGGTGGAAGAGTGAGAGTCCTGTATTGAGAGGTGGTGGCAGAGTGAGAGTCTTGTATATAGGGGTGGTGGAAAAGGAAGAGTCCTGTATAGAGAGGTGGTGGAAGAGTGAGAGTCCTGCATTGAGAAGTGGTGGCAGAGTGGGAGTCCTGTATTGAGAGGTGGTGGAAGAGTGAGAGTCCGGTATAGACAGGTGGGGGAAGGAAGAGTGAGAGTCCTGTATTGAGAGGTGGTGGCAGAGTGAGAGTCCTGCATAGA